TTGTCGATGTAGATCCAGAATGATCTATATCTGTGTTTTTTTTAGACATTCTGCATTCTTTGAATCATTCTGAAAAATATGTATGTCGTATAAACTTTACAGTTCACATATTACTCTTTTAAAAAAAAATTCATTGGTTGAGAAGTTACAAAGATAATATTGCAGAACGTGACATTTTTAAAAACATTTTGCATCACTTATAATTTTCAAGCTTTTTAAGTAATGAAAAAAATTTAAAAAAACTAAATTCATTGAGCGATGGACGTTTTTTTTTCATATAAAAAATGCGAACTTCTTTTAATATTGTATGAGTAGTTCCTTTAAAGTATTCTTTCAACAATATATTTTTCAAATTTTTTATGCATACATTCTGTTGAATGCAAGCAGCCATATCCAATAATGTAATAGCATTGCAAGAAAAGACAAGCTCACTCCTGTTGTGAATCATTCTCATCCTATTACTATTAAAAACTTTCCAGTTTGAAAATCAAATATGTTAACATTCGTAAATTTATTCAACATTTTCATGAAGTAATTATATGCATGAATTGCTGAATACGTTCTTTAAAAAAATAAAAACTGCCATCTACATAGCACTTTCTCACAAGAAATAACATTTGATTCTGACCAAAAAACGAAACAAATCATTAAAGATACGATAATACGAAGAATGCAAATGCCTCAACAATTAACTAATTGATCCTTTTTAAATTCTAGTAAATTGTTCTAAATAGAAATATGAATACCTTGAAACCGACTATTTATCGTTCTATTAGATAATAGAACAATATGCTTGTAAGAAAAGAAAAAAGAAAAAGTAATTGTCTCTTGAAAAGAAAAGCAACCTGTAACAAATAGAGCTATTGTCAGTAGGAATATGAATGGAAGTAATTTTTGGCAAAAATTCGAAGTTTAGCACACTAGCAAGTAAGAGAATATTATTTAAGAAAAAGCACACAATTAAAATAATGAGAAAATGGCATGTTACTAAAGGTGTAGCTATATTACTATTGATAATGATGTTTGTTCAGCTATTTCAGCATTCCAATAGAACCTTAAACATTACAAACACATGTCTATTTAACATAGCCCATTTCAAAATAAAAGGCGGATTGGTAATTTTTGAGTAAGTTTTGATAGAACCACTGTACACTGTATAAAAAAAAAAGGTATTTTTACCGAACCCCGAAAAAGGTTCGGCAGATTTGAAAAAGCTTGCGAATGCATTCAAATGCTCAAAACTACTTTCAATTCTACGAAACCTTTAAAGGTTCTTCACCTGGATACACGGGAAAACCCTTTTTTCCTGTGAAACCTTTTTTAAGCTCCGTACAGCAAAAATAGGTTTTGTAAAAAAAAATATGAAACCTTTAAAGTTTCTTATTAAATTTTATTGGTTCAGTGCAAAACCATTAGTGCTTAGTAAAAAGCCCTTAGAATTTAATACGAAACCTTAAAGGTTTCATATTTTTTTTACAAAACCTATTTTCGCTGTACGTAACTTAAAAAGGTTTCGCAGGAAAAAGGTTCTTCCAGTGTATCCAGGGGAAAAACCTTCAAAGATTTCGTAGAACTAAAAATTTTTTTTTTGAGCATTTGAATGCATTTGCAAGCTTTTTCAAATCTACCAAACCTTTTCGGGAGTTCGGTAAAAAACCTTTTTTAGAGTGTAGAGAGCTACGATTTTCACTGTTGAAAAGAGAAGATGAAGATGCACACGAGGATGTCTTAAAAGGTTTCTTTAAGATATTTTCTCAATGACTTTTCTGTAAAAATAACGGAAAATCGATTTCTCTAAAAATAAAAACAAATGAAAAAAGTGAGTTTTTTTCCAGAAATTGATAGAAAGATCGACTTAGACTTTCATGTAAAATGCCTATAACTACTAAACGGGTAAGCGTAAAAGTCTGGGTCTTGCCTAATTTTAAAGATCTTCATTGAGCGGTTCGAATGCATACCTGATTATTGGAAATTGTCTTTAGTCACCTTTCGGAGTATGTTGGTTTTCAAAAACGTCGATTTGAATCCTTGATAAAACTAGATCTAATTTCTCTGTAACATACAGTTCGATACGTCTTCATCTTCTTTTTTTCACGGTGAAAGCTACAGCACTCTACAATGGTTCTATCGAAAATTATTGAAAAAATAACTACTCGCTTTTTTGAAATGGGCAGTAATTTCATCGGCGAAGTGAATGTGATAGTTATGAATTGATACCAAGAAGAATTCTAATTACTTGTTTTTTTCTATATAAACAATAGAAAATAAATAGATGATGAAATGACATTCATCACATTTACGTAGTCCGTAGTTATCCGAAGGATAGCATTATGCGCTTAAAGTTTTAGACATTTTACATGCATTTTAGTTAATCGTAGAGCAATAAAGAAAGATTCCTCTAGATCAATGACCACCGAAGTTAGTACTCGTATTCGATATCGACATTTATTTATACATTTCATCAGGAATTATAACCTCTACGATGATGACGATGAATTGAATTGGAGTGATCAACTATTAACTACACGCGTTTTCATTGTCACTCTTTCGATAGCACTCTTCATGGTTCTCTCAGTCACTGCTGTCATTCCTCAAAGTCGTGCAATTACTGTTGATTCACCTTCGGTTAGGGATTTTGAGAACATCGCCAATAGGTACCCCAATGCATTTACTTGTCGCTGCTCTCAAATATCTTTTCCTTATAAACAATTCTTTTCATTCAATCCACGATTTCATCAAGTTTGTTCAAGTGATTTAATAAGTGAAGAATGGGTTTCTTCTTTGTTCAATGTGACAACAAGCAATTACTATCCTCTGGACTTTCGTCTGATGGCCTCTGCACAGTTTCAAGTTTTATCTGCTCTTTGTCGAATAGTACGTAACATCGTATCTGATGCTGTGAATGAATTTTCTGCGACCATATTTGTTTCACCAAGTGCTCTATCACGTACCGTCTTTGATACATATACAGACACGCTTGTCGACCAATTCAACAAAACTACTCTTGAGAATTTTCGCATACTTAACGGTTTTATTTCATTCATTATCGGCGAAGGTCATTTCATATCTGCATTGCGTACAAATTTCTATACTAGAAGTGTTCCTGGTAGTGACAAATATACAACTTTTTCTGGTATTTATCAACAAAAGGTTAATCTGACGCAATCGTCATTTATATTAAATGAAACATGTCGATGTGATCAAACGAGTAATTGTATCTATCCTGCTGGCATCTATAATCAATCAAAAGTCATTATTCCGAATGAAGCATTTTCAAATGATGCATCACTTCTATTTGTTGTACCAGGATTTCAAGTTGGATGTGTACCTCAAAATGCATTACTTCAATCGACATTAGAATGTTTTTATAATCAATCATGCTTGGATATAGTTATTACATTAACTGGGGCTCTTCGTACTGTCTCTGCACTAAATATTTCGAATTCTATTTCTCGATTTGATCCAATAACAGCTATCGGTGATATTTTTGATAATCTAATGCTTGAATCCTGGCACAGTTTTCCTGATTTCGCTGCCTACTTTAAGATTTGTGCACCCGCTGTCTGTTCGTATTCATATATACAACGCTTCTTTTTCATTTACATGATCACAGTCGCAGCCAGTCTCTTTGGTGGACTGAGTGTGGCATTGCATACTGGGTGTTCATTGTTTGTCAAATTCCTTTCAAAAATATCTTGCCAACAGACTCAAACGCTTACACCTGATGAAGAACGTGAACCACGCAGAAGTAAAACTGATTTCTTCTTCCATAAATTTCTGTTACTTCTCATATTTTTCTCTTCATAGGTTGCCGAGATCGTGCATGGAATATGGGTTGGATAGCCTATGAAAAAGTTACTACATTCAATTTGTTCAAGACGGCTGTAACGAATGTTGAGCAAGGTATCTATTCGACTCGAGTCTATGTCTTATTTTTGATGGTCGGTATTTTTGTTTTGACCATCTACTTCACTAAAGTAATTGTCTCGAAACAAGTTATCGTTCAAAATCCAAGTATCAACCAATTTGAAGAGCTCAATGAAATGTATTCATCGATTCTATCATGTCCATGTAGTCGTTTGTCAATGCCACGCTCAACGTTCATGCATTATGAAGTACAATTTCATCCATTTTGTACAAGTATTTTTATTCATGATGAACTTTGGCTTCAATATTTCACGATGGAGTTTCTCAATGGTACTATCGATCCCACTCCATCTTTCTATTGGATTGATTTACGCAAGAGTGGATTGACTTTCTTTAATTATATGAGAATACTCTGTGATTTCAGTACTACCACTGTATCTGATGTATTGAATGCATTCGAAGCGGAGAACTATTTCTCTTCTCAACCCATAACAAAACTCGAATTCAATCAACTAACTCATAATTGGACCAATTCTTTCATAACGCAGGTAAAAAAAACATATAAAAAATTGCTTAAAAATATGCTTTTCAATTCATTAGTTCGTTTAAATCGAAAGTCTCATCTACCTTTGAGATGCTCTTTTCTCCTACACTATGAATATCTTTTGATGACGCTTTTCTCGTGTAGAATGAAGAAAGAGCATCAATAGATAAACGTGAAGAAGCAAAAGAATATTATACTAGCTTTACTGACAGAATTGTATTTCATTATGCTTTTTTTTATCTAGGTTCACGCTATCTTGTGGAGCAAACTCTTTTTAGTGACAAATATGTTTATGCAAAATAATTTCGTTCCATCCGATTCATTTAATCCTACCATTATCTCCAAACAGCTCAACAATACGTCGAGTTTATATTATGTTTCATTCGCTTTCGGTACACAAAGTTCAAGCACATGTTCTTGTGCTACGGACCTTTGTTCCGTACCGTTAGGTTTCTATCACTATTCATCTCCAGATGGACCAATGTGGTTTGAACCATATACAATTGTTCCTGGCCTCTTTCTAAGTTGTCAGCCTTTGTATTTTTTTATGTCCACACTGGAATGCTTTTTCGATGAGTCATGTGTTCAGATGCTGATCCAAAAACGCCTTTATGGTTATGAAAATTTCTATCTACCAATTAACTTGACTGATTTTACAGCACTTAATCCAGATGATATGATCACTTTTAAGCCTACGGATTCGGTCCACCTTTTGATTGTGGGAGCTTTTATTGATCAACATATCCAAATGGCTGATTATAAATCTTACTATACTCAGTGTCAGCCAGAAATGTGTATTTACACAATTGATCAGAAATTGCATTTAGTTACTCTTGTTAACGCTGTTATTGGATTACTTGGAGGATTGTCTGTTGTACTACATCTCTTGGTTCCATTATTGATCAGAATTATTTATGGAATTCGTCGTTTGTGTCTTCATCGAACACGAGGTAAGAAGCTCTCTGCTTCAAATATTGAAGTATTTTAAATGATTCTAGGTATTCCTGCACATCGAAGACTGATTGCCTATGTTCGAGATAAGGTTTATTTCATAAATGTGTATCAAAATAAACCTGAAATTGAATATCAAATTTTGGTGACACGTATCTATCTTTTTTTATTAGTATTATCTTTCTTAATCATCTCATTTTACATACGATTTCAACATCGTACATTGCTCTTCACTGTAGAGTCACCAAATGAAACTTACTTCTCATTTCTTCATACTCATTATTCTGATAGTTTATCATGTCCTTGTACAGTGGTCTCTATTGATTATAGGGATATTATAGAGATGTCATATAAAATCCACGAAATCTGTAATGAAGAGTTGTTTGCTTCATCTATTCCGCTACCTTTTTATTCAGTAAGCATATCCTTGGAAGAATCTTATGTGAATTTCATTAAACTTCAAATTGGTGTTCTCTACTATCGATGTGAGACCAAGTTACTTCTTTTGAGTCCGTTTTTTAATGATTTTCATAAAAGTTTGATATCAATGGAAGCGATGACCTTACAAACATTTGATGCATTGCTCAACACGTCAATCCCAGGAGAGTTAATGCGTCCTATAGTCTCATTAGATCATATTTATGATTGGATTTCTGATCTACTTCAAGCTAATCAATTTCAAAACCAACAAATGACAAATTGGAAAATGAAATTTTCAAGCTTAGAAGAAAATTACATTCTTCGTACGAGTCCAGTTTCTTTAATGAATGGTACTTGTTATTGTGCAAGTGGCATGTCGAAGTGTACAGAGACGCCCATCTTTTACGATCAGAACGGTGAATCAACAATATTACCAGGTAGATTTTTTAATCGAGTGTGTTCTCTTAACATTCTATCATTTTACAGTCATTTATTGAGATTTTCAAAAATATCTGTAATTAAATATAGATTTGAAAGAATTCTACTTTTATATATGATATCGAGATAATTTTAGGTCTTGTGGTTGGATGCTCACCCATGAGTGGTCTTTCTCAATCTACGCTTGAGTGTTTCTATGATCATGATTGTGTGGCTAAGCTGAGCAGATTTTTAGATATTTCCTTCACTGTACTTAATCGTAGTGCAACACGATTCTCACCAACAACTCCAATCAGTGTGATTCTAGAAGAGAATTTACTAGAGTCATCGAGTTATTCAGCTAATTATTCTAAATATTTTGAGTTATGTGCTCCATCAACATGTCAATATCATTATACTAAACAAAATACTGTTGTCTACATATTTACAACGCTGCTTGGATTGTATGGTGGATTGACTGCATTCCTACAAGTTTTGGTTTGGNCATTTACTACGCAAACACCCGAATCCGGTATTTTTGTTTCAGCCAGTGCCGCCACCTGAATTCGATACCGTTTTAACTGACGAACAATAAGTTCTCGTTTACTGACCCTATAACACGACCTGACATTCCATGATCCAAAAAGTGTTACCCTGGTTGTAGTAACAAGTTTGGTTTGTTCATTTTCGTTAGTCAGATATGGTTTAACGTCCTACATTCGGGTGACTAGCCCAAAAATAAGACATGGTGGCTCCTGGACCCCAGGGGACGCCCTCCCAGCACCGCAAGCAGTACTAGGCCCCCTGGGAGTATGTAAATACTCCCCAGTAGGGACATTGAATATTAAACATTACAAACACATGCTTATTTACTAGTTTCATAAGAGAAGTGAGTGAGATAGTTATGAATCGATATAAAGAAGAGTTCTAATTAGTTTTTTTTGTTTTTTTATAAACAATAGAAAACATATAGATGATGAACTGACGTTCATCACATTTACGTAGTCCGTAGTTATCTGAGAGGTAGCATTATACACTCAAAATCTTAGGCATTTGACATGCATTTAAGTTAATCGTAGAGCAATAAAGAAAGATTCTTCTAGATCGATGACCACCGAAGTTAGTACTGGTATTCAATATCGACATTTATTTATACATTTCATCAGAACTTGGAACCTCTACGATGATGATGATGAATTGAATTTGAGTGATCAGCTATTATCTACACGCGTTTTCATTGTCTCTCTTTCGTTAGCACTCTTCATGATTCTCTCATTCACTGCTGTCATCCCTCAAACTCGTGCAATTACTGTTTATTCGCCTTCGGTTAGTGATTTTGAGAACGTTGCCAATAGGTACACCAATACACTTACTTGTCGCTGCTCTCAAATGTCTTTTCTTTACAAACAATTTTTTTCATTCAATCCACAATTTCATCAAGTTTGTTCGAGTGATTTAATAAGTGAAGAATGGTTCTCTTCTTTGTTCGATGTGACAACAAGCAATTACTATCCTCTCGACTTTCGTCTGATGGCCTCTGCACAATTTCAAGTTTTATCTGTTCTCTGTCGAATAGTACGTAACGTCGTATTTGATGCTGTGAATGAATTTTCTGAAACCATATTTGTTTCACCAGGTGCTCTACCACGTACCGTCTTTGATACATATACAGCAACGCTTGTCGACCAATTCAATAAAACTACTCTTGAGAATTTTCGTACACACAATCGTTTTATTTCATCCATTGTCGACGAACATCTTTTCATATCTGCATTGCGTACAAATTTCTATACTAGAAGTGTTCCTGGTAGTAACAACTATGTAACCTTTTCTGGTATCTATCCACAAAATGTAAATTTGACACAATCGTCATTTATGTCAAGTGAAACATGTCGGTGTGATCACACGAGTAATTGTATCTACCCTGCTGGCATCTATAATCAATCAAAGGCCATCATTCCGAACGAAGCATTGTCAAATGATGCATCACTTCTATTTGTTGTACCAGGATTTCAAGTGGGATGTGTACCTCAAAATGCATCATTTCAAGCGACACTAGAATGCTTTTATAATCAATCGTGCTTGGATATGGTCATTACATTAACTGCCGCTCTTCGTACTGTCTCTGCACTAAACATGTCGAGCTCTTCTTCTCGATTTGATCCAACAACAACTATCAGTGTTATTTTTGATAATCTAATGCTCGAATCCTGGCAGAGTTCTATTGATTTCGTCGCCTATTTTCAGAATTGTGCACCCAAAGCCTGCTCGTATTCATATGTACAACGCTTCTTTTTCATTTACATGATTACAATCGCGGTCAGTCTCTTTGATGGACTGAGTGTGGTATTGCATATTGTGTCTCCATTGTTTGTCAAATTCATTTTAGGCGTATCTCACCAACAGACTCGAATGCTTACAGCTGACCAAGGACGTGAATCAAACACAAGTAAAACTGATTTCTTCTTCAATAGATTTCTGATACTCTTGATGTTTTTCTCTTCATAGGTTACCGAGATCGTCTATGGACTATGGGCAGACTAGTGTATCAAAAACTTACTACATTCAATTTGTTCAAGACGACTTTCACGAATGATGAGCATGGTATCTATTCTATTCGAGTCTATATTGTAGTTTTGGTGGTTGGTGTTTATGTTTTGACCATCTACTCCACTCAAGTAATTGGTTCAAAACAAATTATCGTTCAAAATCCAAGTACGAATCAATTTGAAGAGCTTTATAAAATGTATTCATCAATTATATCATGTCCATGTTGTCGTTTGTCAATGCCACGCTCAACTTTCATGCATTATGAAGTACGATTTCATCCATTTTGTACAAGTAGTTTTGTTCGGGACGAACGCTGGCTTCAATATTGGACGATGAAATTTCTCAATGGTACTATCGATCCCACTCCATCTTTTCATTGAGCCGATTTTCGCAAGAATGGATTGAAGTTCTTTAATTATGTTAGAATATTCTGTGATCTCATCACTACAATTGCATCCGATGTATTGCATGCATTCGAAGCAGAGAACTATTTCTCTTCTGAACCCATAACAAAACTCGAATTCGATCAACTGACTCATAATTGGACCAATTCTCTCAAACTGCAGGTAAAAAAAGGTTGTGAAAGATAGGTTAACAATATGCTTTTTGATTTATTAGTGCATTCGAATCGAAAAGTTTTCTCTACCTTTGCGATGCTCTTTTCTCCTACACGATAAATATCTTTGATGACGCTTTTTCGTGTAGAATGAAGAAACAGCATCGATAGATAAACGTGAAGAAGCAAAAGAATTTTATTCTAGCTTTTCTGAAAGAATTGTATTTCATTATATTTTTTTATCTAGCTTTACGAAATAGTGTGGAGCAAATTCGTTTTTGTGATGAAGATTATTCTACGAAGAAAACTCGTTTCATTTGATTCATTTAATCCTACCATAATCTCCAAACAGATCGATAATACATCGAACTTATTTTATGTTCCAGGTGAAATGAACACGTCAGATTTGGGGTTATGTTTTTTTAGTACGGAAATTGTTTTCAACCATTGGGTTTCTATTGCTATTCATCGTCATGTGTACAAACGGATTCTAAACCAGATGAAACTGTTCCTGGCCTCAAGCTTGGTTGCCAACTTTTTAATTATTTTATTTCCACACTGCAATGCTTTTTCAGTCAGTTATGTGTTCAAATATTGATCGATAAACGCCTTTATGGTTTTGAAAATTACTATTTACCAATTGACTTGACTGATTTAACAGCACTTGATCCAGGCGACATGGTCACTTTTAAGCCTGAGGATTTTCTCGAAGATTTGATATTAGCATCTTTTATTGATCAATGGATCCAAATGGCAGATTATGAATCTTACTATGCTCAATGTCAGTCAGAAATGTGTATTTATACAGTTGATCAGAAATTGCATTTGATTACTCTTGTTAACTCTGTTATTGAACTCCTTGGAGGTTTTTGTGTTGTACTGGGTATCTTGGCTCCATTATCGATCGAAATTATTCAAGGAATTTATCGTTTGTGCGATTATCGAACACGAGGTAAGAAACTTTATGCTTCAGATATTCAAGTATTTTAAATGATTCTAGGTATTCCTGCACATCGAAAGCTGATTGCCTATGTTCGAGATAAGTTTTGTTTCATAAATGTGTACCAAAATAAATCTGAAGTTGAATATCAAATTTTGGTGACACGTATCTATCTTTTTCTATTAGTATCATCTTTCTTAATCGTCTCACTTTTCGTACGATTACAACATCGTACATTGTTTTTCACCGTAGAATCACCAAATGAAACTTACTTCTCATTTCTTCATACTCATTATTCTGATAGTTTATCATGTCCTTGTACAATGGTCTCTATGAATTACATGGATATTATAGAGAAGTCATATAAAATCCACGAAATCTGTACTGAAGGGTCGCTCCTTACATATATTTCAGTATCTTCATTACCAGCGAACATACCCTGGAAAGAATCTGGTTTGAATTTCATTGCAACTCAAATGAATGCTCTATTCGATCGATGCATAATCACAGCGCTCCGTATAAATATACAGTATATGAATTATCTAAAAAGTTTGATATCAATGGAAGCAATGACCTTACAAACATTCGATGCATTATTCAACATGTCAATCACTGGGACGTTTAAAACTTTTATAGTGCCAACAGGTCATACGTATGATTGGATTTCTGATCTCCTTCAGGCTAATCAATTTCAAAACTAGTATATGACAAGTTGGAAAATAGAATTTTCAAGCTTAGAAGAAAACTACATTATTCGTACGAATCCGGTTTCCTTAATGAATGGTAGTTGTTTTTGTGCAAGTGGCAAGTCGAATTGTACAAAGACGCCTATCTTTTATGATCAGAACGGTAAATCAACAATATTACCAGGTAGGTTCTTTAATCGAGTGTGTCCTCGTAAGATTCTATCATTTCACAGTCATTTATTGAGGTTTCCAAGAACTTCTGTAATAAAAAGAGAGTTGAAAGAACTGTACCATTATTTTTTATATCTGATAGTTCTATGTTTTGTGATTGGATGCTCAGTCATGAGTATTCTTTCTCAATCTACACTCGAGTGTTTCTATGATGATGTTTGTGTGGCTAAACTGAACAGATTTTCAGTCACTTCCTTCACTACACTCGATCGTAATGCAACGCGATTCTCCCCGACGACTCCAATCGGTATGATTCTAGAAGAGAATTTACTAGAGTCATGGAGTTATTCAACTAATTATTCTAAATATTTTGAATTATGCGCTCCATCAACATGTCAATATCATTATACTAAACAAAATAATGCTGTCTACATATTTACAACGTTGCTTGGATTGTACGGTGGATTGACTGCAGTCCTACGAGTTTTGGTCTGGCATTCATTCCGTCTCTGTCGATGTATTATGGGACGATGTCCATGTTTGTTGCGACGTATACAACCATCATCCTAAATTTGAATGAACTGCCCATAATATTAGCAATGCTCTATTTTCGATATTGTATGTCTTTTGATTTTATTCGAGGGTGTGGGTGGGTATTGGTGTAGAGAATACTCAGACCCACTCACAGCGACACCCACACCCACACCCACACCCTGTACAAAATACAGTGTACTTTTTGTATCATGAAGAAAAAATGGAACATTCGAATCAGTATTCAATAGAGGATTATTAATAACTGTAACTGTAACTTTACAATCACGATAAACATTGATAATTTTCACAAATATTTCTTCTTTTCTTCTTGCATAGACATGTTGTGTATGTTTGCTAATAATATTTTTATCGTCTACTTGAATTTGTTCTTTGTTTTTGTCTGATAATGTGATTGTAACAATCTTGCCAATAAGATCTTTTTTATTAGAAAATAGAGATAATGGTAAACATTGGCCATCCAAATTAATTGGATGTTGATATCGATCGAGCTCATACATTGAAAGATGAAAATCTACAAATGTTTCAAAAATCCTAAATATTTGTAAATAATATTAAATATGCGTCAGTCACCGAAAATTGAATGTGTGCTATTATATGTTAACTATTTTCTCTTCTATTTAACTCCGAACGACAATACTCGAACTTGAGCAATTTTTGCAAACATTTGAAGAAGCTCTCAGTACTATTCTGATAGAATTAAAATGCGAAACATCATTAAGTCGATATTTTGAAGGCGGAAATGTCTTCTTACTAATGTTTTTTTTCTAGACTAGGTTCTGAGGAATCACTTTACTTTCTATTTTCTTCAAAACTCGTCATCAATCGTACTCTACAAAATTATACGTTTGTAATATTTTGCAGAATGAATTACTTTCTATACAACTGTAAAGTAGTTCTGAAATGAAGTATAACAAAGGATCTATAATTGCACTTTATTGGAAGTTTAATTATCTATATTGAACTTATCTTTTTCTATGAAGAAACTCTTGATTATCCTACAGAAGTTTTTTACTAATTAAAATCAATTTTATCGATACTCAAGTATCACTGAAAATTTAAAATATATCTTTCTTGATGAATTCTATAAAATTTCATGCAACTTTAGTATCCCCGGTACTTGAACGCTTGATATTATAACTTTTAGAAAATTATACACTTGTTGAGCGTTTCCGTAATGCTTCTGTACTATTTTAAAGCTGATTAAATCCAGATACTACGCGCAGATAAGTATAACGAGAATATTATTATTGAAACTTAGTTTCGAGACTATTCATTTAGCACAGAGTATTTTGCAAATATTTTTCGAAATAGATATAAATCATCCGATATATAACAGTACTCTTCCTAAGATATCATTGGTCAAAAAAGTTTCTTCTGTATACTTATGGCTGGTGGTATAACGATTGAACGTTTGTGAATAAATAATAATTCGAAGAAAGCTGGTTTCGTAAAAGAAATTTGATGAATATGACTAAAATACTACATCACTTTATATTTTATGTTGTTGTTTTTTTCTTTTCCAATACTTTCGTCATGTTATCATGATATTACGCAACATATGAGTAATAGCAAAGCCGAGAAAATCATGTTACTCAAAGAATAATTACGCCAGTACAATGTTTGACAAATATATGAAGTAATCTACGAACTATTGGTCAATGATTTTTTTTTACTCACATTTTTTATCTTTTGTAAAAAGTAATTAGGAAACAGAAAAAGAAAGGGAACATCAGACGCAACAATTTCAAAAAAAGCATCCATGCATTTGACTAACTTTATTACGATGGTATGACTAATGACAATATGATAACACTAAACTGTATGCCTCTTGTCCAAGAAACTCAGTGAAGTAAATTCGTTTTCTTTTTACAGTTGCACATGTAAATAGTTCCGAATGACTGTGCTTGTAGCGTAGACATAACTTTTTCTCTATCAGCGTTCTGCTCTGAATATTTTCTCGCATTCATTTTATTTTTTATTTTTGTCCTTCTATGCGAACGTGCATAAGATGTCATGCATAGATGAAAAACAAGTGAAATCGATTGCAGTTACTTTTACTGATTTTCTAAATGTCTTACTCCACACTTGACCTCGTTCAGAGTGTGGGTGTGAGTGAGTGAATGAAGATAAGACCAAAAGCAAACACAACATCCACACGCGCATCCACACCTGTTCAACAAACACCATCAAATCGATTCACGCCACACTAACCTCTCTTATGCCCTTATATTTTGTACTAACACCCACACCCTAAACCGTCATTGCGAAGCGAAAAAAATAGAGATTTGTTCAGTTTTCAAAGCTCTTTCTGACGATATATTTGAAAGCGAAAAACTATGATAAAGTTTATACTAATTCATCCATTGGTTTAAATTATGAATCAGTATTATTAAATCATTAAAACTAGCAATTAAGAAATACAAGTTGTACCAAAACGTAGCCCATTCTATTCTGCACTTCATGATAAATTTTTGAAGACTTTGTTTGTCCTGTTTTCAATAACAATAAAACCAATTCAAGGGTGTGGGTATAGGTTGATGTGTCTGAAGAAACGAACAACAGCTAAACTCAGACCCACACCCTCAAGTTGACTACACAAAGAAGCTAACATTTCAGTGAAAAAGTCAACGTTGTGAGTTTACAATAGATTAGCAGCCGTTGATTGGTTACAATTTTGAAACTTCTTTTTCAACTAGCCAACTATTTAACTTTTAAAATTTACAAACAGAGTTTTGCATTTTCTCGGTCTGAGACAACCACACCTGGTGCTACAGCTACTTCGCGTGTCCTTGCGCTGGTGTTCGTCTTCTGTGACACCCACACTGGTGATGGTCACAAAAAAAGAACTCGAAATTGATGAATTCACAGTTCATATTTTTTCAATCGACTGCACACTTAGTTAAATCATACTCAGTCCACCTGTGACTATTCCAAAGGTGATTCCAGTGCGCTATACATCGATCCTCCAGGAACTCGGGGCGTTAGTTGATCTCCTATGGATCCTCAGTTGACATCTATGGTCCAAAGGAGATCTTCAGGGTATCCTTAACGAATGTCCAGAGGATCACTGGATGTTCCCTTGAAATCAAAAGATGGGAACTTGCTTATTCGCCTTACGAATATTAATAACTCAATAGTTGAATAGTTGCAACAACTCTTCGAGTTCTACATCTATGACGGTTACACATTTGTTCTTTTTATTTCTTTTTTACTCAGATTACATTTTTATAGTTTAGTCAAACTATAAAATATGTGGGTGGGTATGCATGTCAGCATTGTATTAACATCTACAGCCAACTCATACCCAAGTTAATAGAGTTTTTTCAATCATCTTCAAGTTGCAAATGTCTTTTAGCAGTAGCAATGTTAGCCCTGTACTGAGAAATTGCAGGATCATCATTTGATAACTTTTTTAAAGCAAAATCGAGTGCTTTTTCATAATTCTTTAATGCCATTTGATAATTAGATAAGAAAATGTATAGAGTACCAATATTACTATAAACAATCGCAATATCCACGTAGTCAGATGATGGTATACTTTGAGTTAATTTTATTCTTAATGACCTTTTAAAATAATTTAAGGCTAGTTTGAATTTGTTAGATCGAGCGTGAATACCAGCTATGTTATTATATATTTT